GTATAATTGCATAACTTACCTTTTGTAATTATTTCCGATTGGGTGTATAAAAATGACAGTTACGGTATTAAAATACCGTGTGATAAAAAATGAACAAATTCTGAACGCCCATACACAAAAAAAGGTTAAAATAACGTACGAAATTGTACAATTAGCACACTCCATACGAATTGATAAATTCAGTGTGATAAAAAAAGGAACTGTATTTATAGCTTTTAAACCATTTTTTTAGATTATTTTTTTAAGATTAATAATATTACGTAATAATTATTTTTTAGATTTATAATTTCACGTTTTTTAAAGGCATTATGTGTAAAAAATAATATTTATTTTAACCTCATAATAATTAACTTGCCATTTGTAAATGTAATAATGCATGGAAAAATTAAGCACAGGCGCAAGTTTTTAATAATTATTATTACATTTTTGGCAACTTACAATTTTAAGTGAACAAATGCCATTTGTTAATGTAATAAAAATTACCATTTTAAGTGAATAATTTCCATTTTTGTAAATGTAATAACGCATGGAAAATTAAGCACAGGCGTAAATTTTTAATATTTATTATTATATTTTCGGCAACTTACCATTTTAAGTGAACAATTGTCATTTGTTAATGTAATAACGCATAGGCGGGAAAAACAAAGGTTGACTCCATGTCTTTTTAAATAAAGTATGGATATGGGGAAAACAATTTCTTTTTATAAAAATATTCTTTCTAAATTCTATATTTTTTCTCTTTATTTATAACAAATTTTTAGAATAAAATATAAAATACTCTCTTCACCTATAAATAAATTTTGTAACTATTTATTATACCTTTAGTTGAAATTATTTTTTTGATTAAATTTATTTAAATATTGACGCCTAATAAATAAATTGCTTTCTTCACCAATAAATAACTTTAATATTTATTTTGACAGCTAATAGTCTAATATATCACTTAATTAAAAATATAAGAAATATGAAATCAATATTTTGGTATGAAATATTTGAATAAATCTAAGTATGCAAATGAAACATTCGTTTTAATAATAATATCATTTCCCATTTCAAAAATTTTTGTAGGATTGTTTTTTTGGAACTTCCCAGTGGATCACCCATCCTAGGACTACCCCCGTTCCAGCACGCTTAACGGCAGAGTTTTTAAGTTAAAGAAGTGTCAAATGCTTCCTAAAACTAATTGGTGATAGAAAGGTGGACACTTTGTATTTAACCACATCTCTCTGTAAACCCAAGCCGAGGTAAATTCCTATAGGGCACCCCCTATAGTTCACTACGACAGTGCGGAGCCCCACTACTGAGCGAAGGATGGACAGGAGGGGCTTCGCAAGATACACGACTCATGTACCTCGTCAGGTTGGGCTGTCAATACCCGATACCGTGACAAGCACAGTAGCGAATCCCTAAGGGTGATCGATGGTCCCCCATAAGACCAACAATTTTTTACTCTCTTCTTTTATAATAAAATTTTTAACCATATATATGATGGTTTTTAACCTCTAAATAAATTTGATACAAGTTTTTGTTTATGATATGTTAAAACAAAGTTAGTTTTGATTTGATTCATTGAAATATTGATGTAAAATTTAAAACACGCAATATATTTTAAAATTTACATCAAAAGATATAGAGAATAAGAAATGACTAAACTATAATTATATTACAATAGAAAAAATACTATGCGTAATTTCATAGTTCGATTATATTGATTTTATGATTTGACTTTATTATATAAAATTTATAGTTTATAGTCCTTAGACTATTTATGATTTAAATTGAAAAATATAATATTCGTAGTCATCTCTTATGAATTATGATGTGATATTTTTAATTAAATTATAGTTAACAATTGATAAAAAAATGTGTTACCAAGCTAGACATACTATATTTACACTAACATTCTTTATGATTTCAATATTATTAAGCAAATTTAATTATGAAAAATAGATAATCACTTTCCTTAGAATACATTTTTTAAAATTTTATATTTTTTCACAACATTTATAATAAAACTATCAATGAATAAATGAGATTTCCTTCCTTTAAAATAGATACTTTCAAAACCTCTTAGAAATCATATTTTTATGAGAACTTAAAATGAATTTAGTTTTGATTTTATTTTTTTAAATATTGATATAAAATAAAATTTTACAAAAAAATATATTTTGATCTCTGCATTAAACTACTACAAACGGCTAGCCTATTTTCAAAATGATCAAATATTTAAATCAAATAAATTAAAAAAGGAGTAATTTTGTACTCAAATAAAAAGAAAAAACACAAAAAAAAACTATAAACTATTTTTGTAAATTTCTACTGAAAAGTATAGAATCACTAATGTTTTTTTTCTATTAATTTCTTTAATTAATTCTAATGAATAGAATCATTGGATTTTTAATTATATTTTATTTTTATTTTTTGAATTATAGCATTGCTAATATGAGATTTTATTTTTTGACTTATGTGGGGAGAGAAGAATCATTTCGATATTTTTTAATCAATGCGAGAGGAAAATCATGATAATACGTGAGAGATGAATAATATTTTTTTTGCTATTCAAAATTAAAGCAGTGACGCAGGATAGAAGAATCATATTTTTTGAATCATAACTAATGCAAGGAGAATAATAATAGAATCACCAATATATTTTTAATTAAACTGTGGAAAGAAAAATAATATTTTTTAATCAATATGAGGAAGGAGAATAATACACCCTTCGTCCTAAAATATTCTTCCCGTTTACTTTTTACACAGTCAAATTTTAAATACTTTCTTTACCTATTTTCATTAGGTATTTGATAAAATAATATAGTGTTATCACTACGTGTTTTGTAGAACTTTTGATGTAGTTTTTGAATATATAAATTCTATTTTTTAATTTTACACCTACAATCAAATAAATTGAATTGAAAATAAAGTCGATCAAACTTCGTAAACAGAACCAGAAAGAACATTATAGGACGGAGGGAGTATTAATGAGGGAGATGAATCAATTTTATTCGATAATCTAAACTGATATGGAGAGAATCATTTTTTTGCCCATCAATGATGGTTGTATAATGGCTACGTCAAGATTGATGTGGATGCTTTAACGGGGTTGGCTGATAGAGTGTCGGAGTTCATTTTATTGCTTGAAATTATCAAGGGACTTTAATAGTAGATGATGTTTGAGACCTAGAGAAGTGGAAGTAATCTATGTAAATGAGGCTTGAACCTTTATCAAGGACAAATATTGGAGGCATATCTTTCTGGAAATAGATTGTAACGAAGTGGTTGATGCTCCTAATAATTCCACGAATATTATGATTTAGTGAGTGAGAGTAAAGTCAGGTTGAAAGTATTAGTTTTAGATGTTTTTGGTAGTCTTTTATAACATTACGCAAAAATGTTATATATACCTTAATTTTTCAAAATGTTTTAATTTAAATAAGAGTCTGACATGTTAATTTGCAAAAATATATAGTATAATTTCCATTAGCAAATATTATATTTCCTCTGTCCCACTAAACTTTTCTTTTTTTTCCATCCGTCCCAAAAAAAGCTTACTCATTACTATTAAAAACTTACTTTTACCCTTACCAATTCTTAACCTGTCTATCACATCATATTTATCACTATTAATCTTCCTATCACATCTTACTTTTTACCCATCTTATCAAAGGACATTTTTGAAAGATCAACATCAAAAAAATCATTTAAAAGTTAAAACTAAAAAAGTTTTGTGAGATGGAGGAAGTATATTTTATCATTATTCTAACTATTAATGTTGATGTTTTATTTGTACATATAATTTTTTAAAATGTTGTCGCAAAGAAAAATTAAATATTCATTCCACCCGTGCATGACACGAGTTAAAATACTAGTTTTTATATATACGAGAGTATTCAAAAGGATGGTAATTATTTTCAACACGGAACTGGAATCGGGGAAGGCTCCTGCGTACATGTTTTCCTAGAAGATGGGAGACATTTTTTCAACGGTTTAGGTGTTTAATTAGCATCCCTTGGTTTGCATAAATACAAGAGGTAGGTGGGATGGCCACCCCTGAAAATAACTTGTGTATAAAGTTATGCATAATTATGTTATTATTTAAAAAAGTTATATAGATTTTATTAATTTTAAAAAGTAACATTATATTTAAATATGTAAAACTATCCACCATTTTTTTTCTTCAATTTTTTTACATTTCAAAAGAATATATAGAAATTTTAGTTCTAATTTTAAAACACTGGCATTTCTAATTATTATATAAATATGCATTTCAAGATTTTATTTTTTAATCTACATCATCGTTTTATGATAAATGTTAAAGAATATTCACAATATTTCCCTTTTATTACTTTTCAAAAAATATCATTGTTAATAAATGTGCCTCATTATTAAAACTTCAATATTTAATTTAAAAAATATATCATATCTAATAATTAAAACAATATATAAGCATCCCATATGTTTATTAGAAAATCAAAATAAATAAAATTATATTTTAATTCAAAATTTAATTTTGTCAAAGTAATTTTTTTTGAATATATATATGAGTTCATGTGAAACACGGGACTAAAAGACATTTAAAAAAATAGTAGAGTAAAATAAATGTGTGAAGTAAATTTAGTTTTTTGGTGGGATTATTCTATCATCACCCAAAACTCTTCAAGCCTGGAGAATGGATTGCATTCTTGATATATATAAGGGCATACTCCGTATTATTTTTTCCATTTCTCTTCTATTATCTTACGTCTAATTACTCATTTATTAGTGACTTTTGTTCAATTAAATTATAACGCTTTCATTGTGTAACACATCTAATCATCTACTTAAAAAGAGAATTACTCCCTTCGTTCCGATTTAATCTGGACAGTATGACTTCAAGTAGTTTAAAAAAGTGTTGAAAAGTAAAAGGATTTACCCAAAAAAAAATGTGTATCAATTCATTAGGGAGGGAGTATTTCAGAGCAAGGCTATGATGCTATTTATCATTAATCACAATCTCTGGAGTACAAGGATTCAAAGATTACAAACAAGGCAAACCCAAGGCATTTAAACAGGGAGTATGTTTTTGACATAATTAATCACAATTTTGACTTGTTCTTACTTCGGCTAATGCTGAGTAGCACAGAATGTTCTGAAGTTGCTTTCACGCCAAATCCAGTAATAAAGCTACAAATTTGAAGACTCTACTGTAATCCACTTGAGCACTTCATTCCAGACTTCTTGATTGCAGACACAGCTAGAAAACAAATGGTTAATGGATACATAAGCACACATTTCTCATCCATACCGAGACTAATTTTTTTAATACGGAGTAGAAAGTAAGTCTCACTGTTTTCCAAATGATCTCTCAAATATTATCATCCGGTTTGGTCCGGTTAAAACTCCATATATAATGAGGAATATCGAAAACAATTCCAGAAAAAAAATGAAGGAGAAAGTGTAAAATGAGTGCATATTTTTGCTAAACGTCTTATCGAAGAATTTTACTCTTTGCACCAATTCACACACGAAATTGGTTATCACACACGGACAAGTATAATACACGGACGTGTATTATCACACACGGACAAGTATTGAATTTTGTGTGTACAAATGGTTTATTCCAACTTCTCCTAGTTATTTCAAAAGTCATTCCAAACACCACACTCAAGTTTTAAAGGAGAGGGAAAGAAAGAAATTAAAGGAGTATGGGGAATAATAATATGACATAAACCTGAATGGGACTGAATCTAGAGATTGGAATATTTCAGGTGAAACCACAAATGCAATACAATGGAGTGTCTCTGAAATATACTTTGGGGAAACTCAGAAGAAACCTAAACCCAACACCAACAAATATAAAACCCTCCCATCATCAAATCCCCACAAATTAGGCTTTGGGAAACTTAAAACTTACAGAGAAGCCCAAGCAATTCTGCCACAAATGGGATCTAATGTTGGATCAGCTGGCCGTGGTCCTAAGATTTCAGAATTCATCCCAAACTGCAAATGGGAATACGACAAACAAGACTCGCTTGTCCTCGAGGTCGATGTACCAGGTATGTAACCTGCTTAATTGCCCCTCTTGCCGGCTTCTGAAAATTGAAAAAAATTGTTAACTTCTAGATCAACAAGGCTTTGATATTGATTAATATATTGTCCAACCATACATATTAAGGACCCAGAAATGATTTTTTCTACTCGGACAGAAAAAGAAAGAAAAAACTTAGGCTCCATTTGGTACACGAAATTCATGTCATGGAATTGGAATTGGGGACTTTAATTCCAGTTTTGCTGTTTGGTAGCACAAAAATATGTGAATTTGGAATTGGTAATGCAAAAAATAGACTGGAACTGGAGAATTCAATTATATCCAACTCAAATCCATAGAATTTCAATTCCAATTCTATCAATTCCGTGTACCAAACGGACCCTAAATCTTGATTGTTAGAACTTAAAAGAAGCACAATAAAGATCGTATAATCTAACACGAACTGAATTGAAGGTCACCTGTTGATGTAGGGTTCAAGAAGGACTGTCTGAAAGTAGAATACGAAGAATGTGGGCGTCTGAAAATTTCCGGCGAGAGGCCGGGGGAGAAACAGTTCAGCAAGGTGTTCGCAGTTCCCGGAAAGTGTACGGCAGGTGAGATTAGGGCAGTATACCGCCGAGATCGTCAGGTACTGCGCATTGTGATGCCCGGGAAAACCAGTGCTCCTTTACCGGTTGGTGTGGATAATAGCATGCCAAACCCTAAATCAGAGTCGAACTTACCCGGTCAATCTCACGGAGAAGCCAATAAGGGAAATGGGACAAAGATTGCGGTCAATGTTGCGGCGGTGGTGGCGGTGCTTGCTGTCATCGGAGTCGTCACTTTTTTCATCATTTGCAAATCAATCTAGTCACACTACAATTTCAATGGTGTCATAATCCCCTCTTAGCTTTTGAGAAATTACCCATAGAAAATGCTTGTGTAATTCCTCTTAAACGTTTAATACTCTCTCCGTCCTAAAACATTCTTCCCGTTGTGCAAAACGAAGAAAAATTTTAAGTTTTTTAATCTATTTTATTTAAATATTGGTATAGAAATAAAAAATAAAACATACATATTTAAAAACTACATCAAAAGTTCAACAAAACAAGTGGTGACAAGAATATTTTATTTTATCATATATGCCATAAAAAAACACAAATAAATATAAATTCCCGTAAAGTTGGAATATTGCTCTGGGAATAAAGTTTTAGGACGGAGGGAATAAATTTTAAATGACAAAAATTAATAAATTTTATTTCAAACATTTATTGAATGTAAAACAATATTTAATACATGATTTGAAATTTTAATTTATAAATAATATAAATAATACACTTTTAACTTGACCAAAACATTTAACAAAAAATTTAAATTTGACCTAATTTGATGAGGTCATAATAATTTTGTTGGAAGTATGTATAAATAAAATTTTAATGTTTTTACCTTAGTACACAAAATCAGTTAGGGATATTTGTCTCCTACTTCATAGAGGTGGAGCTGCCCCTCACATAATCTATATTTTATATAATTTTTTATATAATTTATAAATCTATACATTCTATGCTTATAATAAATTAAATTGAAAAACACTTTAGGCACCCCTCTTAAATCAGAATGGATGTTCATTTCTAGATGAATAAAGTAATTTTTAGTAGGGGAATTTAATTCATATTTTAAAAATTTATGTTATACTTTTTAATAATACGTAGTATATGAATTATGTAAAATGCATGGATTGTTTTAATTCTACAAAAACTTGGATAGATTTTGATACTCCATATGTTTATTATATAGAATTGTTTTTTTAAACCAAAGATTGTATTAAATTAATGAAAGGATAAAGTCTAGAAGTAAATGAACTCATCCACCCAACTCATGAGCCACCTCATTGATAGAGCGATACACAAAATCAAAAAGAAAAATTCCGTGACATAAGGGAAGAATGGTTTTACAATCATCAATAATTGAATAGAAAAAGACCAATCTTGTGAAGAATTATTGAGCCCATCCGCAACGTCTATGCAATCCGTTTCAACCTCCACCTGCATCCATCCTCTTGATTTAATTTAAGTAAGAGCATCCTTTACTGCCAATCATCAAAGTTTTTCTTCCCTTTGAACCACGTCCCCAAAGGAGTAGGGTACCGGTGCTCACGCCGCCATACCTTAGCATTGCAAATGCCTCGAGTCGTCCATATAAGGCCATGTGTTATGGTGGGCTTGACAGAAAGCTTGACAGGACTTGACGGGTTGTAAAGATGTAAGATGTGGAGTGATGAAAAATGTGTGTTAGGCTAAGGGGCGTGAGGAGCGGCTTCACCACCCTCCGTCACGCCCCTCTTTTATAACATCCTAGGCGTGACCGGGCGTTGCCCCAAAAGGCTTGACCACCATCAATCCGTGATGGCTTCGTCCTTCCCCAGTTTTTTAATTTTAAATTTTACCAATCAAAATTTCACACAACACATCATCACATTTCTTCACACTCACCATAACACACATTTTTCATCACTCCACATCATACATCTTTACAACCTGTCAAGTCCGCCATAATACATGGCTTTACGGTGAGTGTGAAAGAATGTGATGAAGTGTGAATGTGTGTTAAATTTTGATTGGTTGAAATTTAAAAAGAAGAAAAAGAAAGGGAGCCGGCTATGCCGGAATGTCCATCACAGAAAAAGGGACCACGCCCCTCCACTGATATGCTGGCGCGGTGTGACGCCATGAAGGAAGCGTGAGGGAGGTAGTGACGCTCTCCCTCGCGCATGATAACAGATGGTCTAATGTGCGGTGTAACGCTAATCTTGCAAATTAAAAAAGATTAAAAAGTTTCTCAAGGCACCCTACAAAATTAGAGACTGTAGGTATGTACCAACCAATTAAGATCAAAAGTTTCTCCAGATTTTAAAATTCTTTATGTGAATATCTTCTCCTCTAGGATTAACTTCTTGATGAGAAGCAATAACGGATGCAAGTCTGCAATCGTATTCTTCGTCCCTCTTTCGCCCGCCTCCTGTGGTCCGAATTTGGCTTTGCGTTTGCAAGTACGATTCTAGCTTGTGCATTGCTGCCTTGAGTTTTCAAGGTCTCTCTTCTCGTTCAGAAGTTGTTTCCAAGGTCTTTCTTCGCCTGCCATCATCTATGACCAACTTCTCCGTTCCAAATTTGGTCCCTCAATCAAACTCAAAACCTTTATGTTTAGGAGAGGATTTGTACACATACTTTAGAATGAGAGGGTGGTTGGTGATTTGAGTATCATCGATTATTTTGGATAATTAATTTACTTAAGAGCAGACAAGAAGTTTAAAAGACATTCACACGAGTTTGGATGTGTGAAGTACATGTTCATTCAACGATATTACAAATTCCTTATTTTCTCAGCCAGAATTTGGGGCCAGTAGCCCCTGACTGGGGTTGAGCCCGGTCATATTGAAAAAAATATGGAGTATATTTTTGGACAAGTGTTGTTTTATAAATGTTCTTTGGATTTTCGTAAACAAAACATCAAAATGAAGATGGAAAACTAGTAGTTTCTTTTTTTCTTTTTATAGTATTCGAGTAATATATTATAGTATACGAAAACTAGGTGTTAACTGCCACTGACCTTTACAAAAAGGTATATAATATTTGAATGTGTAATAAAACATTCAATGTGAACTGCCACATTCTAATGTAAGAAGCTCATCATTTGGATGTAAAATTATGAAGTTTGTGGATTCTTGAAAGATTTAAATATTTTAGCTTAATGATTCAAATGTTTACCTTGAACATACATGTTGGTTCACAACCAATAGCAGTAACATTCAAATGTTTCAACTAAATATTTGAATATTGAAGAGAAGAGTCATGTTGGTTTATTTCAAGAGAAATGTCAAGTCAGTTTTACTCTATTAACAAGAGCCCTAATGGTATGTTTGGCATATTGAACATTACATTTTTGTTCTAGTTAACTTTAGTCTTATTCGATTAAAGTATTTCGAAGATACTTATGAAATAACTTTAATTTAGAAGCAATTTACACAGTCAATAAAGGCTACTCAATCATTTCTCTTTACTTCCAACATTCATAAATAAAGGATGAACTTCATCCTAGGGTCCCGTCAAGCTCCCGTATTTCCAACTTCTCACCAACAGTTTTCCTTTGTTGCAATCAATAACACAAACACTATGATTTATCCTATTTTATTCCATGTATAATTGTTAGTCAATGTGCCCACACCTGAGAGGGGAGGGTGAATAAGACGTTTAAAGATTTTTGGTGTTTAATAAAATCGGTGTTGGCAAATGCGGAAGCAATGTAAAAACGCATAAAATTAAAAACGTAAAACTATTGACACACCAATTTTATACTAGTTTGGAAACTCCCTACTCGAGTACCTTAAGGCTTCTCGTTAAAGATTTTTGAATCCACTAGGTGTTGGCCTCTTGATCTCCGTTAAAGCACCATACTTGTAACACCCTAATCCATCCAGGTCTGCAGCCCCTTTCGGACTAAAGTATTAACTTGGTAATCGTAAAATTTAAAATATTTCAAACACTTTTATTTATCACAATAATATTTTTCAATCATAAATAGTGCAGAGTTTTCATATTGCGGAAGCTTAACAAATCATAATTCAAAACATAATTTATTTATGTTCTTTAATTCAAAACCATCACATCCATTCTGACAATCTCGCCTCCGTCTACCTCCAGGATCACATCACTTCATTCTTTCCATTAACCTGCATGTAGAAAATAAAACATACTACACGCTCAGCGTTGAAGCTGAGTAAGCATATCTAATGCGTCGAACATCCATATAAACTGAATCTCAATTCATAATCAAATCATTTGATATCATGCATATAATGTTCAGTTTAGATATTCAATAATCATTAATCAATATTCATCATTCATTATTCAACATTTGTATCGTTCATCAGTCATTCGTAATATTCACAATATTCAGTTCAATAATCATCATTCAATATTCATTCATAATCAACATTCAACATTTATGTTCAATATTCAACATTCTATAATATCCTTAAACTATTCTTAGTCTAAGGCCAATCACTTTAATATTTATCAACCCTTAAACGAATTTTAGTTTTAGATAATCAAACTATATTCCAGCTTAAGGTACTCCTAAATAATCCTTGAGCTAGGCCTAGTTTAAGATAAAAGAGGTCTTCAAAATCTTAAACATACCTTCACTTAAGGCCAATCAGAAACCGACAGCATAGTGTTCACAGTTGGGTGGGTGGTACCCCCAAACTTAAATGGGTACATCTTAGAGGTCTTCTAGATACCTTTCAAAGTCAACATTACTATGGGTATATGTAACGCCCCAAAACATACCCTAGAATTATTAATGAATAAATATTCAGTTAATCAAATTTGTTTTGATTAAGATAAATTATTGTTGGGCTTTGGGCCGATGTGAAATGTGTTTTAACATCCAATATCAAAATCTGGATAAGTCTCATAGAGATAAATCCAGTATGTGGACTATTTGTGTGGTCTTGATTGGGAACCTTAGTACAGACCCAAATCAAGAGTAAATAAAGAATTTGTTTAGAATATAAATATTGAAATGATTTCTTAAAATAAATCATGACAATAACTGATATGAATTAAATGAGAGAACCTTTTATGAAAAAGTTTAATTAAACCAATTTTGACTCTGTCAAAGTCAAACACCCAAAAATATGATGTCAGAAAAAGTATTACAAATAAATATAATATCGTTGGATAGAGTTTAACTCTCCGATCGCAATGGTACAAACAGAATTTAATTCGGAGAAAGTTGGACCAAAAATTATATCCCGACTGGAACCAAAATTGGTCCCAATCAGAGACTTGCGTTTGGAATCACAGGAATCGGCCGTCCGCTCCACTAAGACGCCAAAACAGGAGAATGGATGTCATCCTCCATGTCTCCTTCTCCATTCCTTCCCTATATAAGACCACCCTCACTCCCTCAATTCTTCCCCATTTCTCACAATCTTTCTATCTATTCTGTTGGTGGGAGTGAGGAGAACGCAGTAGTGCTGTCAGATTGGTGAGAGGTCGTCAGAGTTGAGAGATATAGTCGCCGGAAGTTTCGCCGGAAAATCTTCAAAACCTTCATTTACCTTCGAGGTAAGCCCGTAGATATATCTAAAGATTAGAATGTTCATATAGGTTGTTT